CTTCACGAAACGAAAACCCACTCACTAGGTTTTCCTTTGAATAGGTGTCATCTCTAATCGCTAGCAATACGAATAGAAAATAACAGGATACTCATATAGGTATATGATTGAACGAATAGCACCAATAATATCCCTTAGAACTCAAACGCGAGATGTCCTCTCCATCAGTTGAGGTCTGTGCTCGATAGGACGTATTACGAAGCCCTCCATTCGATCTACTTCGTTTGCTTCCAAGCCAACTATATAATCCCTGCTGGATGAGGTGTCAATTTTTTGTCATGGTTGATGCGCAAGTGGAGCTGGTCCTTTGTGAAGCTAGTGCTGTAGGCGTTCGACCCACCGCATTGACTCCCATTTAAAGAGCTGCGCTTCACCCATTTCCCTGCGTCAGGAAACGATAGACCAGCGGTCTGGGCTGATATAGCCATGAATGGCAAACAAGGAACGGTGGTACGCCTATTTATGTTTCCTCAATTTACTCGTTGCTGTTTTTACGACAGGGCTTCAGGCTTCCAGAAGCCGACAACCAGGGTCCGTCCCGTTCCTTCTTAGCATTGTGCTGGTCCCGTAAACTCGACTCGAACGTTTCACCTTTTTAAGCTATTATGATTTGTTAGCTCGTGCAGTTTTACTGGAAATTCGACATTCGCACGGTATGAATTGTCTGGCATCATGCGCTTCTTGTTCCGCGTACTCGATTCAGCCGACGTTGTCCGGCGTCGTATTTTTTAAGCACCTCAGACGAGTAGGAACACTTGTCCCTCAATGACAACGACAAACGGACGGACGACCATTTCGTTGTAACGGATGCTGATGTTATTGTTACAAACAATGGAGCCCAAAGGCTGTCATCACTCAATCTGAGTCGTAACGAAGGCCACGGCTGGTCAACAATATCCGCCCACAATTCCCCGTGAGCGTCCAAGTTCATGCAGTTCATTATCTCGGTTTTGAGTCATACTACAAAGACATACTTGACTTTACTAGACATTGTCATGCGGCCTGTCCTAACTTAACTTGAAGCGGTTGGGACACTGTCAACCTAAGTTCGAGTTGTGACTCCGAATTCATTGTCCTTTATCTACAAAGCAATCGCATCATAACAGTTTGCTTGTTCCATATATCCTGCTTGTCTGCTTCACTGATCCCACTGCGCTCCTTGGATCATACCATTCGCCCACTAAGTTACCCGATTAAAGTTTGATTACTTGGGTACTTCAGTCATTTTCCTGGATTACGAAAACATTGATTCCATTGTTGATTTGCATTGCTTTGCGTTTCGGAGACGTGTTATATATAAATGTATGTATAAGTGTAAGAAAATAGGATTATGCACTTCAGGAGTAACACAGACAGGATGAGCCTTTCACGAGAACGGGTGTAAGTGTGGATTGTAGTATCTAAATAGCACCCGCATAGTCCTAAATGGCTTGCCTTCTGCCTATCAACTCAATGTTCTTTTTAATGGATTGCAATGGTCGAGGCGTATCTGGATAAAAGTTGTAACGCACTACTGATAAAAATGTCGATGCCGATGACGATGATAGGTACATTGAATTGTCTAATTCGAACGAGACGCCTACGTAGTGCGCATTAGGACGTTCATTATAGATTGATAAAGTTTTATATATTTAATGTCCTATTTAGCTTTGTCTTGAAGACCAATCGCTGTTTTGCGTTTCATTGACTTAGTACAATGTTCATCAACTAAGGTCCATTGCATTGGGAAGAGACAACCGCTAGTGATATTCTGTGGGCGTGGGCAGCTGATAGAGTGATTATTAACAGGCTGTGTTATTTACTGTTAATATCATGTACTTGCGGATCTGTTTCCAGTTACTGTGAATAGCAATCTAAAAATCCCATGTAGTGCTATTTAATCATATACCAGCAATAATTAACCGGCAAATGGTTACTAAGGCCTACTTTAGGCGATGTGAACTATCATGTTTGCACAGAGCTGCCTAGGCTTCACACGAAGTTGACGGTCTTTACTCCCGTCTATCTTTAAATGCTCGTTAAATCACCGACTAAAAATTAGGCAATCGTTTAGGTGATGAGGCTGAATAACACGCTGTGCTTGAGGTTTAAGTGGCCTTGCACGAACAGGTCAGAACTATCTAGTCCTGCTTTTCGGCTACATAATGACATATTTCAATTAGAATAGAATTTCAAATTCACTGAAATATTAACCTATGCACATACATACATGTAAGCTATCAGACGTATTTGAGACAGTATCCATTGACGTGCGCCTACAATGAATTCTGAAGTATCTCTATGATAGCCACAACGTCAGGCTGTCCTTGCTAGTCGCGGGTCCGTGTACGCGGCTTTGCTTCACTGTATGGTTGTTCTTCAGCTCAGTGCGTTGAAGGCATCGAGGTACCGAGGATAACTGATTACGAGAAGAACAAGTTCAAACTTGAAACTCTCCTAATCTTTTTTCCATGCTCGAAGCTATAAACCATACTTAACCCAATTACTATCAAGAATATTCCCTATAACCCATCTAAGTATTTATGTATCTGCATTTTATGAACAAGTACATCTATGCTTCATTTCCCTATGTGTAATCTAACAATTAACAAACGCAGCCGTGTGAGCGATTTGCTTAGCCAATTATAAAGTTTTGCCTATTAGTAACTAGGTAAGTTCTTACTGAGCTTTGGCCTGTTGATTGGCCTGTTGAAATTGAGCGTTTATGAAAGAGTGACGAAGTATTAGCGATTTTTTCGTTACGTTGCGTTTAGCGCAAAGCCGTCCATTTCAACGACAGGCCGATTTTACGTTACGTAGCATCAAGGAGGCAACGGCATGTCGAAAAGATTTAAAGTGGCTGCAAACCGAAGGCTTTAGATTATCCCACACTATAGTGCGATTGATCTCTTTACCTCTTTAATAGTGTACTTCAAGTTTATGCGCGGTTGGTTTTCTCGTTGCTATCGTTCCTGCATTCAGCCTGAAGAGTAATTTTTGCCTGGATGGATTTTTATATCTGATTTGTTTTGAGGCAACGATTTCATCGACTCATCGATCAGGACGTTGAAAGTGGGTCACTCCTTTGTGGACGGCTGCATCATCGATTTCAGTATTCTTCCATTCAAAGGCTTTTCTTCGTTATATCATTGCAAGAAGAACCGTAGGCGAAAGGTAAATCTTTCATTGTGTTATTCTTTCGCTTCTAATAATCCTTCTCATTGAAACACAATTATAATGAAACGTTTTGATATTTCCGACGCCATTTCAATAGCCGAAACGGCATTTTGCCTTTTTCGACGTCTCAATGGAACAATATTTGACACTGCGCGTTTATGTCTGGTTTTAAATGCATCTTTTTGATAATCATCTTCACTTCCTAAGAACACGCACGCTGAACAGTACGAACTGCTTTTCCTAAGTAGGCAAATGTCTAAGTAAAGATTTCAAAAAAAAAAGGCCGTTTCTACACAGGTCTGCTTGCTGTATCCAAATTCAAATTTGCCCGATCTGTATTATTAAAAAAGAAACTAGAGAACGTCGATGGAGCTTAGTTTCAGATATATAGCGGCCCGCATAGGCTTGCGCATTGATGATCCTGACTACCATCGTTATTATGAAGAATCCGATCCTTTCTCTTGACCGAGGCCGCTTCGTTGGTTTATACATGTTCGATTTTTACATAGAGCCCTTAGCATACGGAACTTACCAGCAGAGTTCCCTTACAGCGGCACAAGGCTGACTGGGTCAGACCCAGTCGGGCCAATTCCTCCCTGCACATTGCTATACTCAAGTCATGCCCAATTCAAGAGCACACGTCAGGTCAAATACGAACTCATTGATGTAATCCTTATTAGAATAAAACAAAAGCTATAATAAGTTTATCTAGTATAATAGGTTGCGATTGACTACTCTATGGAAGAGTTGTTTGTTCACTATGAAACACGACGTCGATATAAATACCGCAATTATTATCGATCGAGAGAACGAAATCTACTGCCTAACGTGTTACAACCAAGCTGATGAGTTCGTCAACCGGATAACAGTTACCTTTTGCTATGGCGCAAAATCTAAGTATCTGTACGGAAGACTGTTTGGAAGAGACGTTTTCAGTTTTCGATTGGTACGTCTGAATGGGTCATCTATAGATTTGTTTATGTCTCGCCATAATTTTGAACCTAACAATAGATCAACAACTGTTTCTCTACTGTTCTTGACATGAAGCAGGTAATCACCATGGGCGACCCGGCTATATCGTTTCGGTCATATCTGAACTAAGACTATTTAGTAGAACCAAGCTGGCTAGCAAACAGGTACTCAATATTTGTTGCAACTAGCTCCAAACCATTTGGTCGAACGACTCTAATTCGATGAGTTCCTTAATAGTAAAATGCCGCTTAAATTAGTCATAGACTAATTGTAAATGGCAACGGTTAGTAGCCAGTGCTGCTACACTGCTTAAAATCTCAGTGTTCGTAAAAAATCATCGCTAGACATCAAAAATTAAAAAAAAATAGAGAAATTAAGCAAAATAACCAATAGGGTATTGGTTAGCTACTTGGATGGTTGTCATGGCATTCAATAGGCTTGCTGGAGAAATCCCTGAATAGGTACAACAAGACCCATTTCCTTTTTGGGCTTTTAAGTGTTTGATACTATACCTAAACGAAACGATTCCGAGAACTTGCTCACAGAAATAATTAAGTGAGGGTGGCAAACACCCAGTTGCGTATTTGTCAGTATATCGTTGCCTGAGACGAAGGGTTCCCCGAATTCGCCCAGCGAAAAAAAGCTTTCTTTTAGCTTCGTATTGACAATATAATTTAGCGCCAGCAGGGTTAAGTGCTTCATCTGACGGATCTGAAGTCGCGGTGAGCATTCATTACTAAGTATTGTTAAATTACTAAGGGACGTCATGCTGTGTTTGTTGTAGTACGCAACTAGGAGTCGTTTAGGACAAACTGTCGACAGAGAGTTCTATGGAGGCAAATCTACATTGTCTGTTGAAGAGCTCTACTCACATTGAAAAGCCCGCGAACATCGTCTTCATTTTGTTGTTTGTTTAACATTCCGACGAAAAGTTTTCGCTCATCAGGGCCTCGGTGTCCGCCGCTACCCATTGTCGTTGAGGTTTCGGTCTCTCCACCGGAGGGCGGAACGACGCTTGCCAATTGTTTTGTTGCACCACTGCCCTGCAGCTGCAACGGGCGGCTCATCTGAAAATAGTCCCGATAGAAAAAGGTTAATAAGACCAACGCGGCAACAAGGAGGCATACATAGCAACAAACATAATACCATATGGGAATAATTTTTACAACGAAGAGCTTGCGTAATCTATGGCCTATTCTTGGAATTGATTTTTGTTATTATTGTAAATAGACAACAAGACAATGCTCCCTCTAAACTGACCTTGATTGGTTTCGATATCTGGTGGCTGAGATTCGCTTGGTGTATTGTAAAGTTGGATCATTGAAATCCAATAGAATAAATAAGAAGCCTTAGTTTTTTTTTAATTTGAACACACGTTGAGCTTGGTTTACCAAAGTTTTTTCATAGTGAAAACGTTTGTGTTTGCTAGGGGAATATCTATGGTTGCGTTTATATTCAATACCTGGGCGTGTTTTTTTGTTCACTTGAAATCCTCATGAAAACCAAGTGTTCGAGGTACTCTACACGTTCTTCCTAAAATTTGATTTAACGCGGGGCGATCTGAGCCGCCAGCGGTTCCAGGCAAACAGAAATGGTTTTAATAGACCTTGTCATCTACGATTAATTTAAGAAATAGTTATGATTGGAAAGTGACCGTAGTGTTGGGGAGAAAATTGAAACAGTCCATTGACGACAAAAATAGGCACAATTTATGTAATTTTACGTTACGAAGGACGAAGATGAGTGTCCGCTGAACACAACGTAGTCAACTGGAATAGTTTCTACAGAAGTTATGGAGTAAAGCGAAAATCCGCTGTCAACACAAACATCAAGTGGTAGGCGAACATGGGTTGGATTTCAAAGGCTTCATCGAAAATGAAGCTTAAAAAGTTGTTCGGAACAATTCTATCTTGCGGCACCTAAGAATAATCAACATGGTACCTCCGAATATGAATCCGGTATGACAGTCTGCTCTTAACCAAGAAAGTGCTCCTTCTTCGAAACACAGCACTCCCCAAGGTTGGCATATAATATACGTACTTTAGGGTTTGGTTATTGATTGGTCTGACCCAATATGCCTGAACTTGTCTGTCTTCGACGATTTACAGCGAACGCCAAAGCTCATCGAACGAACGACATATGCCCCCAAAAAGGTCCCTGCAACATATGTGGGATTAACCTGATAGTGCATTTGCTCGAACTGCGGCATTTTCCGTATTCGTCTATTGTTTGATGATTGTTTTTTGACGAAAATTGCCATTTCTCTGCCACATAGAGATGTTGTATATATTTTTTATGTAAGATGGCACTTAAATCGAATTCGCTTAAATTTGCCGCTGCACAATGCTTAGATTGCATAGTGGCATTTCACACATTAAACCGTTTAGTGTGTCGATAACAGCCAATATTGTAGGTCCTTGGTATTTTTGATTTTGGGACCTTCGAAACGCTGTCCTCACTGTTTGTGAGAGGCTTCGAATTTATGTGTCAACTGCCCCAGGCATTCACTAGGCCTCACTAAGCTAATACCTTAACTCGACAAAGTCCTGCTCATAACACGCTAAGTCACGCAAGCAATAAAACTTGCCGAATCCTTTGATGATCCTCAACCCATAGTGTCTGATGGCCAGCGACGTATTTGATGTGTAGGGAACTTCTTGTATGCCCTAAGGCAATTGCCTCCTGCTCTGTATAAATACTTTCGAGCGGTATTATCCTTGTCTATTAGTATAATTCGTCATTGTATTTTTATTATAGCCCTTAATGGTACATAGGATTCGTCTCAACCTCAGTCAGCTCTGTGTAGTGTGCAGTTTGCTTTCAGATCTCCGACTACAGAAAATGATAGCAGATAGCTCATTGATAAAGCCGCACGCTTCTTACATAGAAGAAAGCACAACAATTATGTTATTATATACTAATAAGAAAACAAGCAAATTGCGATGGATCGCTGCTGATCAATGTACGCTTATTATACTATATAGTTAGTCTTTTCTGTGATTTATAGTTGGCTAGAGAAAACTTTGGCTGGAAGTTTATGTAAGTTTCGTTCTTTTGATTGTGCTGCATAGTAACGGAACGCCAAACGTACGATCATAATCATGAGCGTCCATCCGTGCACAACTCATGTTTCCTAGATTTCTCAATTCGCAGTTCTAGCCTAAGGTTTGCTGAGGATTAATGAGAAGTCGCCAGAAGATATCACACCACATCAACGACTAATGAATGCATGCTAAAACGTAAGCCATATATATGCTTTCGTCGTCCGTCATTGATAATTAGGCTTAATTTTGTACGCTAGCAAGGAATCTCGACGACTCCACCCCGTTCTGTGTGTGCACGGGCATGCATGATGCCCACGTATTTGGTCGGAGCCATTTCGCAAAGGAAAATTGGCTTGGCAGTAGGTGAATGCTATTCAACAAGGTAATCGCTAAGACCATCAACAAAACACTGTTGAGAGCTAAATTGGGTTTTACCCCAGATGGCAGTACGACCTTTAATTATCTTCAACGCTCCGTGTTTATTTTTACAAAAGATAAATATCCTATACTGGAAGCTGGTAGATATATGTTTGTGATGGTCGTCAATAAATTCGAATGGGAATAGCCATCGCGACGGGTCATAGTACATCGTTTTAGGAGTCTCACTTTTAGTCGCTGTGCTCTAAACCATCAAAATATATAGGTTTAAGCAAAAGTAAAAACGTGCTCAATGACATAAGACAATTTTATCATAAGATTAGAAAATAACTAAGATCGTGATTGAGCACTAATTGAGAAGATCGACCAATTGCGGCGACTTTTAGTAAGCTCGCTTGCCCGCTATGTCATTGATTCGGTACAAAGTAAAAAAAAAAAAGAGGGTTTTGGATCAAAGATCAAGCAGGACATTTCCGTAGGCCTGCAGCATCAGTAAAAAAAAATAATTAGAGTACGGAATGCTGGATCGGAGACGACGCGTGAAAGATGTTCATAGACATTTAACATGCGAGAATCATATCTCTACAACATACACCGTATTCCTCGTATATATTAGATTTCTCAACGGAGTAATTTTTTCAAAATAATTTCAAAGTTAAGGTCCTCCTGGTATTACAACCAAGCCTTTACATGCGTATGGTACGTGTTTAAGTCTATAGAAAGCGCCAGGCTGCTGCGACCAGGGCAGGCTTTTGCTGACGGACCCAAAGCATACGTTGCAGCTACCGAGAATGAGTGTGTGGGCCAATATATTTGTGTTGTTTGCTTGTGAGCATTAGGATTGGGCGTCAACAAAGGCAAAAAGGTTCAGTTTGTGTGGCCGAAACGTCTGTCCCATGTAACGCCTGGCTGGTTTTCTTGCTCGTAGAAGAAGCAGTTGCTGAAACCAGGCGTAGCAAACAAAAGCAAAGACGGAGACAGTTCTGCGTGGCATCGGAAGGCGGGGAGTGGAAGGGGGCGCAGGTGCGTTAATAAGAAACATATTTACATAAAGGATTCTGCTGGCTTCGTTTTAATGGAGGCAGTAGCAGTAGCAGCAGCAACATAAGTATTGGTGGGAGCGGCAGTAACGGTAGAGTTACTTCTCCGGCTCGGCGTTCTCCGTCTTCTCGCTCAGCTGTGTCTCCCTACTCCTTCTTCTCGGCCGAGCTCTTTCCCAGACGTTTTATCACCTTCGTTTTGCCATAGTTCTGCTGGCCTTAGACACACTTAACGCGCAGCGTTGCTAGGTAAATATAATGGTACGGAAAAGCTGCGGCGGCGGAGAGGAGTCCAAGTAGGGCGAGGGGAAGGAACAACATCGTGAATAAGGGAGACCAGGTTGAGGCCGATCGTCCATCATAATGCCCAACTTCATCATAATTACCACTATTATCATTATCAGCGTCATGAATGAACAGCCGACGCTGCGCCCTCTTTTTGATTGACGGCAGTTCCTTCGTCATTGTTACTGTTGTTGTTGTTGTTGATGTTGTTGTTGTAGTGCTTTGCTACTACTTCTGCTCGCAAATACAGTCAAACCTATCTATCACGCCGGGAAGTTGAAACAGTGGTAGAGCCTAAGGCAGCCAAAGGGCAATGGTGTCGCTGGTAGTGGAAACGTTCGTCTGACGGTGGATGGCGTGTTAATGTGGCTGCTATTACGCTTCGTACTGGTCGTGTTGAGACGCTAACCGGCTGCAGCATCGGCTGCGCCGCTCTAGTAGGATACTGAAAGAATGGAAGGAAGAGGGCAAGGTAAGCTCGGAAATGAATGTGGCAATCGTATTGGTGCTGCTCCTGCTGCTGATAACGAAAAAACGCGGCAAAAGAAAGGGAAAGGACGTCCGAAGCAGACGCCCGCTGCTGCCACGGGCAATTTAAGACCAAAGACAGAGGAAAAAAATGATATAGAACGAAGAAGAGGTACACTAAGTGTGGCAAATATGGAAGGGCGACCAAGGGGAAAAACACACAGAGAGAGAGATGGGGAGAGAACAGGAAAGGTAAAAAGGGTTGTACTAGTTATATTGCAGGCGATGCTGTAAGATAGAATAATGATCACTTTTCGAAGTTAAAAAGAACGTCATTCAGCAGACGCACAAACATACGCGCAAGCAGGTTGATTCGAGATGAGCAGCTGGAGGATGGCATGGGAAATTGGCGTTTGAAGATCTGTTGCTAGTATGAATGTCCGATATAGGCGTATTGGATAAACGCAGACTACTTAGACAAGCCAAGGTGCACCAATAGATTAGTAATTATCTACAGTAAGATTAAGAGAAAAAAGCTGAGTGAAAAAGTGGTGCTAGGCATGGCTAACACGTCTCTGTGATAGTAACGTATTTGCCCGCTGAGCTTAGAAAGACGTTGTGGTTCGAAAACACGCGGTTCGTTTTGTGATGGCTGGGAATCAGCCAGCCGTCTGATAAATTGTCTAAGGGCGACACCGGATGTAAAACTTGAAGCACGCCTAACACATTTGTGTTCCAGACAGAAGTAAGGCAGGAATGTTTTGAACAAGAAGATTAACATGAATCGAACCAAACGAGTGAACATATCAGCGGGTTGGCTTTGCTAAAAAGGCAAATATGTCGATGTAAATGAGGTTCACGAGCAAATCCGGAGGGCGTTGGTAGACCCATTAAACTAGACTACAATGGATGTGCCCAAATAATCGTGGCCAAACTTTCCTTGTTCAGGACTGTCAAAGTGATGTCAGAAAACAGTTTCATCAGGTAATCTTTTCCCAGAAACAAAACTTGTACTGATAGAGCTATTATAAGCTTTTATTGCGCATCTTATCATGAGATCAAGAAAGCATTTTAGTCAATTAATCTCTGATTCTTCGCCAAGAGAACCAAGCTCCCTTCGAGCGAAGGCTCAGATCGATTTCATTAGAAGAATTTGACGTTACAATCTAGCATCTGTTTTGAAAAAAGAAAATTTGTTTGCCTTTTCGCGTAGGTAAAAAAGGTGCCGTAACAATATTGACGACCGAGTGAAGGCTCGAAAGGGAAATCGAACGACAAAAACCTATTTGAAGTCCCACGCGCAATTCTCAAATGGCATGTATTGTCACATCAGTATCATGCGTGATATTCAGTATTGAATTTTCACTATCTTGCATTTGTTAAACCTTTTTGGTTGCTTGGAGATGAAGCTTATTCAACGCCGAAAAACTGGCGATAGACAGCAAAAAACACCTCAGAACTCATATTCCTTATATTACATGCAGCAATATTACACAATTAACAAGAACAATCTACTTAGGTAAATGTTAAGCTGATTACATACATTTTCCGGTTTGGCTGACTTAGCCCATAAACATAATACTATATTACTCCGAAGAACACGTTTGATTTTCAGTTTCGAAACCTCAAAACACAGCAAATCATCTTTAACAACTAAATTAAACCTTTTTTTTCTAAATCAGTAAATGTCATCTGCAAACAATAAAGGCCATGCACGTCTGTAAAAAAATCCACAGTACAACGCTATACGTACCTCGGTTAGAAACATGTCGTACGCTCGGTCGCTATTGCGTTCTTCGTATCCTGCGCTGCTTCGCTATCTCGTTTCCGCCGTCCGCGAGCGAAGTTTCTTGCCGTAGAGCTCGTTCACAGATAGGTGTGGTTAGCGAGAAGAGAACCCTTCTGATTCTGTCAGTCAGTCGCTGTTAAAAAGAAGGTGCGGAAGATCACAGCTGCTAAAAGGCGTAAAGGTTGAGGACGTCCAATGGCATTCAACGTTTCTTTTCTTAGAGGCTGTCTATCTTCTAATATTTTTCGTCTTTTTTCCTCTATTTGTTATTTCCGAACTGGTCGGTCGGCGCTGGTCGTCGCACACAGATTATATTACCATTATAGTTGTAAGTTAATCAACAGAATGTTCGTTCTGTACAGACGAAGAATAGGAGATGTCAGTTGTTCAACGAGAGGGGTGATAAGAATACTGCGAGATAGGGGCACGCTTGATACTATTGGTGCACGAATATCTATAATAACCAATTAATTAGTCCCAACTAGCACTGCTTCGCTGCTGGTCTCGTCACGATCTTCCTTAACATTCTCTGCGTCGGCCCTTCCCTTGCCTTCCGATGTATTCCCTAACTGAAGGTAATTTCCTTTTTGATTTTTTCTCGCACAAAGCTTTCCTAACACAATATTCCTATTTCATCCATTGAATCTTGTGGTTCCCTTGATATATATCCCTCTTCGGCTGCCTGACAACACCAAACAAAAGGTGCGATGCGATAGAAAACTAGAGAACGGCTTGTTGTATTATCGGCCGTCACAGTAGTCTTTTTGCACTTGGCACGCATCGATTAGGGCACGGAAGCTAAATAACACGAACGGTTTATGCTGGTTGTGACACGGTTTTTGTCGTTGCTGGCTTCGTGTATCTCTGTCTATCTCTTTTAGTAGAGGTTATGAAGAAAAAACCTTGAAATGTTTTGGCACGTTTGTTTCAATTATAACATATTGTGTGACTTTTGTAACTGATGGTTACTGGAAGCGTAGCTGACGTGGTTGAAGACTTTTTAAGAGTCGTCAGTAAGGCGTGTCCATACAGCCTGATGCTATCCTTATATGTCGACCACTTGTGCTCGTCGGCGCAGCCGATATTCTTAAAAAAGGTGCCAAATCAGAAGAACTTTTGAATAGGCTCCCGCCAAAAGGACTGCTATAGGACTACCGCCGACCTGAAGGAGGATAAAACAAACGCAGAGGATTCTACGGTTCCATATACTGAACAACCTTAAAAAATTGGCTTCAAACTCGGATGACCATAAAGGTGTTACGGATTCGTTTAGGAACCTCGTAGGCGGGGCGATTTAGCAGAATTTCGTAGCTACGGAAGCTGTAATAGGAATCCTTCTCGCCTCGAAACAAGCATCGATATAAAAGAAGGCTTCGCGTCACTACGTTGCAGTTTTTCAGGAATAAGGTCCTTGACCGAAGGAGAAAATATGCTATCCGTAAATCGGCACTTTGGAACTATACGAAGGGCCTTTATAGAAGTCCTTCCGAGACACAGTATAATTGGAAATTTCTAAACGGGTACTTTAGTCTCTACTGGCTAACACTCGCACATTGAGCTGAGGGTGTTTTTGGTTGGTCAACTACTGGCGTAGGGTATTCACCTTTTGTTCCTTAGTAAATAGTCAGTAACATGCTATGCGCACGTTAGACGTCGTAGGGCGTTTCGTCTTTCTATTCGAGAGACACGACAGGAAATTTTGCTTGCTTTTTTCGATTTCGGTTTTGAAGGGCCTATTTTTCTTTCTGTTTTCTACTTGAAGTAATAGCAGTTGAGTGTTTTGCTTTGCTTTCGTGCGCGGACGCGCACACGGGCGCCGATAATAGCTATACTAGTAGTACTCGTAGCGTTGAACGTTAGCGACAGCGGAACATCTAGAACAAGTGGAAGAAGGTTTATCGAAGGTTGCGACTTCGTCAAAAGCGGCGACGATTTTCTCTCTCTCTCTTTTCGTTTCAGCGGCGTCTCACGACGACGACAACGAAGATGACGAGAAGGTCACAAACAGACAAATGACATGTGGTAGTAGCAAGAGAACGATGACGGCGCCGTAAGACTCGTCCACTCGATATCGACCATTGGGGATTTTTCTCTACACAGCTTTTCGTTGGCGGTGGTGTCGGCGCCCAGCGATTTCCTCGAATTTGGCGATGCAAAAACATACACACATACACGCACGCAGGCACGCACACACGTATCGGTGCGGCAAAACGGTTCGCACCTTTGAGGCCTTCCGATTGCTCGCTTCTTCTTGGGCTTTTTTCGCTTTATGTTTTTTCCCTTTAAAACAACTTGTTCAAACGCTATTACATATTGAATCGTCGACCCGGGTCCCGACAGCTTTCTCCCTTTCCACTACTGTTCTGACTTTTTTTCGTTTCGTTCAGCGAAGCGGCGGAGCCCGAGTCATCAGAACTAGCATTTGTCATAAGGACGAAATGGTGGGGTTCTCTCCTGCACCTCCCTTAGCAACAGTTTTCCGTCCACTCTTGAATCTCGTCAGCCCTCGTCGCTGTAACAACAAACAAAGTAGAGACAAAAACAGGAGCACACGCAGGGATTATGATAATGTCTATCTTTAGCCTAATGAATAGGTACGTGCTAGTCTTTTTTGCCAGTGATGCTCATGGTGCTGATAGCGGTTACGATGCTGTTGGTACGAAAATTGTAGTAGTTACCACATAGGCGCGTCACAGCTCTATCAACGTTGCTCGTTTTCTAGTAGCATTCTAATCTGAGAAAGTTACGCTTCTAGTTATATGTTAAGTTATATTTATGATTACAATGAAAAGTTTCTGACTTATTGTTCCAGCCTAACTTTTACGAATTCGAGAGCGATATGACAATATATATAAAGTTGGTATCTAAGTTCGGACTTTTCTCGTACATTGCTTCTAATACTGTACATACATAAAAATATATATTTTGAGTATTTTTTTTTTGCATGTTTTATAATGTATGTTTGACACAGCTAGCGTCATTTACCACGATGAAAGGTCCGATTTTAGACCTAAAGCACTACGAATTTTCAAAATATTAGTTCCTTAATCTGCAAATTACCTTTAATGTAAGCTCGCTAAGATGTAGCTCATAGAAAAAAATCTTAACGGAATCAAATCGTTGGGTAGAAAAAACTAGCCCACATCAATATTTAAACAAACCAGAAGTTCGAAGGGTGCAAGGGCTTAAAGCGGACAAAGAAGGCTGCAAACCGTTGGAGCTTGTCTTGACAGTTATTCTCATCTCTACAACGAGCGTTAATTTGTGTATAAAAACACTCTGCATTAAAATAAATGTAAATTTTCAGTTTAAACTCTATGCAGGATCGTTTCATCGAAGTCCTTCTCGGACCTTCCAGAAGCCGCACCAAGATTGCTACCAATGTAGACTGTCAATTGCGAATAAAAGCACAAGTCGGTAAGGGTTCGTCCATTGAACCAAAAAATTCGTCCAAAAAATTTAAAAATAACTGATCTTCGCTTGAATTTTAAAAATGACATCATGACTTTCGCCATGATCAGTTTGCTATTTCATTCTATAGAATTGGCTTTCTTCTGATACGAAGAGCGTGCTCGCTAGGACAAACAGGCAATCAATGGTTGTCCGAATTCCCATGCGCAACCTTGTATATATCTATATATAATGCCGTTCGGTTACATCTGCTTAACCTCAAGTAAATACGGTTTCAATCTGTGCAGAAGACGCTTTTATCTATTTATGATGGAAGCATTATACGTGGGGCATACAAGTTCATAGGTAAGGCCTGATAAATGTATTACTTCAATGTCGTACCAATGCCGTATCTCCATCCCATCAATAGCAAAGTCTACCCCATTTCTAGTTTTGTTATCTAACCTGTAACCTGAAAATGTGTTAGCACTCCGATTCTATTTAGGTAAAGCCGACGGCTTCCCTATGGTATTTCGTACGATATGCTTCACAAACAAACATCTAGGGTACATACACACTAAATAAATTCACGTTTTATTTCCATAAAAAGGTCATACCGGAACGTTAATTGAACTTCAATTAATAAAAGAATGTAACGCATAACTTCCATTTTGTGTTTCGACAATTTCGATTATATACCTACGAACGAAGATATAGAAATGCATTATACGCGTGTACATTATACATGAACATATTCACGATGTTGTCCGTAGAGCTGGAATCTCTTCAAGGTGCTTCATCCGAAGGTCTACTACTTAGCACGGTAAGCATATATTTTAACTCGATATTAGTCTAGAAGCAGTCGGTTCATGCGTTGTTTCACCCAGATATTCAATCAGAAATCCTCGGCTCTTATAGATATGTCCATATAGCTTCCTTTCAATGGGTACGAAAAAGACTGGTACTTCACCGATGTAGCTTCTTCAAAAGTGTACTTCATTTTCTATTATCGCAATGATAACGGAAAGATTTGTTCTTCCCGTTTGTCAGTGAAGGCTCCCTCTTGGCTGTCTCGGCAAGAGCCAGTCTTTACAGGAACAGAAGGTAGAATGATTTGTTAGTGGGCCGTCGTCCTAATAATAGCAGACGCTTCGTCGAGCATCGCGGTTTATTAACAAATCCTTCTCTCTATCTCTGTTTCTTTCTACTCTCTTGATTTTCAATTTGCGCCAACTAGGGACAGACAGTTCTCATTTCCGCAATAGCATTTCTCTTCGGTGGCCCTCAGAGATAATTTCACACCATCGCGCGAGATGCGAGGCTGGCGTCAATTGCGGAGGCCGCCGTTGTGACGATGGTTCAATGTACGGCGGTGGATTGCAGGCTTTGCAGGTGGGTCCTATTCGCTCCATACTGCCGGCGCTATTCAGTCGGCGGCGACGTTCTGGGCATTTTGCGGCGCAGAGCTAAATAAGGCTTTCCTTCGCCCCCCTCTCGAACACGCCTCATTCGTTGATCTCTTGCGCTCGTGTTGCCACCTGGCCCCGCAAGTTTAAACAAGTTCTTCCTTTAACAAGACAATGCTAAATTTGGATGGGTGACTTTGCGGCTGATATAAAACCATCGCAGCAGTCCAGAATGCACTGAGTAAATATATATTAGCGAACCCGCATTTACCGCCCATTTGTTAGTTACAAGCATTATTCGTCATTCACGTTGCAAAAAAAATGGAAACATAGATATACTATCATGTACGACCACTCGTCTCACAAATAAACCATTTGGGTTTTAGTATAATGAGCAGGGGATATCATGTTCATCCCGCTAAGCAGCGAGCGCAGTGCCCTCACATGTCCAATGCGGCTTAAGACGACAGAAGACCCAGTTTTTATATCCTTTCTCGTACTTTCTTTGCTTCTCAATCTGACAACTGGAGATTTTTCGAACCAATATGCCATCTTCAAATCGCAATCAGTCCCCACTTTAAAAGGAACCATCTGTACTGTGCAGAGCTTATTTATAGTCGATACCATGGACAAATAATATCATTTCGGAGTTTCACTATTGGGCTCTTTAAACTGGGTTCCCTTCTATAAGTTGCTTGCCGCCATGGATACTCCTCCTGAGTCCTGAAGTCTAGCTAGTCTACTCAAGGTAGGTCAGGTGCGTGACGCAGGAATTGTCGCCACCATGTTTTTAGCTGTGCCCAATCAGCAACTCGGCTTCCGCAGAAAACATAGAAGAACTAACTGCACGCCAGTATTGCTTGGGCCAGGCCTAAAAAGAGTTAACGTGGTTTGTGTTCTCTTCCGGTGGTTCGTTGTCGTCACCTTGCTATTGCTCGTGTTGGACGTTCTGCTGCCTCAAACAGCCGGGCCGACGGCGCCGGCTTCGGCCGTTGGCACAGTTGTCGAGCGCTACACTGTAATTTCAGCATCGCCGCAATGGGGAGCATTACCTATCTAGTTTCATTCGCGCTTCCCACAGTTCAAGCGAAAATGTGGGCGCGCAAGGGAAGGAATGGCCCAGGGCTGGTGAACAGAGGAACTGGGGAACCAAGCCGCAGATAGTGTAGAGGGTATGCGGTCGGATACCGTTCCATCTCAGCGGTAACTTTGGTGTAGTCAAGAGTAAGGAGAATAGCAAGCGGGTAATGGGGAAAAATAGGGCAGCCACTCAGACCTATTGTTATCACGCTCAGCTTTTACCACTGCTACTGATATTGCTGGTTCTGCTCTTGCAGTCCACCAATTAGCCGATGTTCAGCATGAACAGAGAGCAGGTAAAAGCCTCGTTTGGCCAATAGCAGCAGCACTAGCGCTATAACAGCGACTTTTGCTAGCAGCAACAACAGCTGCAAGTCATAGAAACAAGGGAAACGCCGTTCGGTTCTGCCCTCGCATAGTTGCCATCCACTGTTGCTATTGTTACTTCTGGCGCCATTATAGTGGGCTTGATCTGGAAAGCTTGCGCAGCTAGCTTCTCCCTCGAAACTTGGCTAGACTATGAAAGCTGGAAGAACCATGTGTAACGCCCCTCTAACCAACAAGAAACGAACGCAAGTAGCTAGAAACAGGCATATGCTAAACACATTCCTGCTTCCGTATATCACCGTAAAACGGAAGAAGAATCTCCTCCCTTCGCTCCGTACTTTCTTCCCTTCGAAAGATCTTAGCTATCGGAGTCCTCGCACTATCCCCACCTAGCCCTCAGAAAGCCTAACGTCTACCTATTTTGCGAGCCGGAATTAGTCGTCCCACTGATTTAATACCATAAACTGTGCTTAACATATAAATTATATTTTACGTGAACCGAAAATGACAAAAAATAGCTCACTTAGCAAGCTAGCAGATAGGAATAAACAGACTTCGCTTGATAAAGAATGCACATTTTTCTGTTACACAGCTCATTGTTTCGATATCCAAGGGCACTGTCAGCTTCTCCCTCTATCCTCCTCGTTTCGATTATCAATCGGAACGCTTACGCTTGTTTTCATAGCTATTTGTAACATTGCTTCCCTTTTACGAAAAGGGCATATTCAGTCGAAGCAATTCGGCATGTTTTAACTATGCTCCTTTGCCCTCGAAATATTAATGATACTTCATGTACTATAAAAAGCTTATTGTCTTTCATTTAACTTTATATATTCATTTATCTATATTGTCCGTCTTCTGCAAATTTAGCAGAGTACCTATGCCGTACAAGATTTGTGTTTCAATCCATACGATTAGAAAATTAAACGCACCCAAGTATAATAAAAAGTTTTTAACTTAATCTTATATCAGTGAGTTATTGTTTACGGCTGTCATGCTCGTCTTGTGCTTTTGCCACGCGTCAACTGCAATTCGCTACTTTACGCAATAGATCACCGGTAACCACAACACTCAGTATCACGCTATTCAAAAGAAAACGGAGCCTTAACGTTAACGGCGTGCGTATGCAAACTGAATTTTCTCATATAGTGACGTCACAGAGCGTTCTGTTGCTCCTTCTGCCGCTGATCGGGGCTTTTCTTGTACCGTCTAAGCTGACTCGGTTCATTCCTCTAATGCTTCTGCGACAGCTAGGATGCAATATGCATAATACAAACAAGCGTGTTTCTGATCCCATGGCGTGTGCCGC